ACACTGGGGGATCCCCAGGAAGGCAGGCTCAAACTCAGGCATTCTTCAGGCAGTGGGGGAAAGGTTTGTTTTGGTCAAAGAGCCTGCAGCATTTGGCAGACATTAAACTATGCCACTCTTAGATTCTCCTCCGCAAAGTGGGGTGCGTTTGTGTGTGCCAAGGGGGGAGAAGGGAGGTGTGAAGGACTCTCCGTCCACTTGTTCTTGCTTTGCAATCTTGTTTGTGTTGGTTACTGGGAGGGAGCTTAGCTTACTGAAAACAGCCAAACACCTGGCCATGGAGTAAAGAAAGCCATCAAGGTGCAAGGTCCCCCCTTAAACCCTAGCCACGTCGGTGGTATATTAGATGGACAAAATGCTGAGGGATGGGGCACAAGTGCTCCCTCTGCCCATGAAATGCTCATTTCTCAGAGCTGATGCTAGGGATCCTGCCTCCCACCCTTGTCTTGATGCTGGCCTCGCCTCTCTCCACCGAGAAGTGAAATTCCACTCTGGAAGGAGTTGAGAGCAAAGTCTCAATGACAAGGAGGAGCTCATGAGTTCAATTTATATGAAATAAGGGCATCTTCACGGATGAAATGTCTTTCTTCACTTGATTCTAGGCAACGAGAAGGCCACCTCGCCCCTGTTTTGCTGATAACAAATCATTTAGATTTCTGTGTTCTGCGAGAAATTCTAGAATTGGAAATTCAAATCTTTAATTATTTTTTAATGACAATTGCACTGGTCTGCTGCAGAGAGTGAGATTGCATCTTACTAAGCGCCATCAAGCTCCTAAGTAGTCATTGACATTCCAACAGAGGGAGAGACCAGCCTGTTCAGGGCCCGATGAGCACAGGGTACAGAGGAGGGTCCCTTGGGAGGGGAGACGGTGAATGGTCAGTGGGGGGGGAGGTCACGAGTCAGATGTAGGCTATTATCATGGCCTGGTTTTCGTTTTGGGTGATAAGTGGGTGGATGCTTATTTCATCCTTAAAAATAACTCATTAGGAGAGTGAAATAAAAGCAGGCTTTGCTGGGATCAGAATGGAAGTGTCTCATGAACCAAGGAGGATGATTAATCCAATTCTATGCACCTGATCCAATAAAAAACAAATCAATTGAAGACAAGCCTATTTAAATGCATGGTCCGAGATTTAGTTTTGTTTTTTTTTCATGTGCGTGCTTTTCCTTACTAGTTTCTCCCCCCCTTTGCTCATCTTTGGAAATACCATTTTTCTTCTCCTGTTCAATGGCAGGGTCTCCTGTGCAGGTTACCTAACAGCTTAGAAAGGTCTGGAGTTTGGGAATCTGCTTCTCCTTAGGGCAGAGGAAGGCCTGAGCTGGCTTCTGGAAGGGGGGAGGGGTGGCGTGTGAGCGCCCGGGGCTGGGTGTGCAGTGATGGTCTTATCCAATCGGGCAAATGTTCTAAGCTGGAGAATAAACAGTGGAAAAAAGACCCCGTCACCAGACCACCTCTACCATAAGCCCCAACTGCTGCCTTTGGGGGTGCGGGGTACATTTTATGTTAGCATTTATCTGTCAACATTCACTGGGCAAGGAGAGAGTTGCACTAGGCTCTGGGCCAGGTGCTAGGCCCTCAGGGACACAGAACATGTAGTGGGTGCCTTTTCTGTGTCATAGGCCGGGCTACATGCTTTGCACGTGGTCTCTCCACCCTCTGTGGTGTTCCAGCTGTCGTGTGTGCCCTCTTCATGGATGTGGTAAGAGACCCTGGGTGGGATGGAAAGGGCAAGAAGCTCTGGAAGCCCCAGGGTCTCTCACCAGTGGAACACCTTCCACATCTGTTTCAATTTATCTCTTTAAGCCTCAAGTTCCTTATCTGTCAAAGGGAAATAACAACCATCCTCATAGGATTGTGTGGGAATTAAATGAGATAATTCTTGACAAGTATTTTTAATTTCTGTGGCATAAATGTTCGGTGAATGATCTTTATTATTATTATTAAATTATTTGTTTTTCTCTTGAGGGTAGGATCTGTAACTAATTTCTCTTTATATTCCCAAGGGGCCCAATAGGTGGTAACGTGTTCATTCTAGTTACTGAATGAGTGAATGAGGTATGCTCCTTGAGAATGAGCACCCAAGGTCTGTCACTCTTCTGACTTCTTTCCTGTCAGCCCCACAGAAGCTCGGAGACAGGTAAAGCTGCCTGCCTCCCTCTGACACAGCCGCACACCTCTGGCCAGGAAGTGACTGGAACCAAGGGCCTGAGAATCCCTCGGCCTTGTACCTTGAAGCGAAGGAAGGATGACTCTGGTCTCTCTGCTGACACTTGCCAAAAGGAAAACTCAACACTCCACCACCAATGTACCCCTTGTCATCCAGTTGCTTCCTGAATGGCTTCAGAAGCTCCTTCTTCTCAAGATTCTGGGGTATTCGAGATGAAAAGGAGGCAGGCCCCTAGAGAAGGCCCCACCTCCCCTCTCGGGTTCTGTCCTAGGCAGGCCTTGTACTCTGTTACTTGAACTTTCACCTCCAGACCTCACAAGTCCCGCCCCCTCTGAAGTCAGTCACCTGAGTACGCATTGCTCGACTGGGGGCAGCGTCCTGGGCCAGGAGGCTTGAGTTTATATCTGTTCTCTGCTACTCACTGCCTATGGGAACTTAGACAGGTCACTCTTTGCTCTTGGAACCTCTGGTCCTCATCTGAAAAATGGGATATAATTACCCACCTTGAAGGTCTGGTGTGAGAATCATCGGTGATGTATGCACAGACGCGGAGATCTCAAAATTGCAATTACCACTAACGACTCTTACTCCACACATAGGGGCCGAGGCTTGGTAAAGGCCTGGAAGATCCCAGCCCGATGTGCTTGTCGGTGTGTGCTAAAAATACATATTTTGTCTCTTCTCTTTAGTTTGGTCAGCAGAATGGGGAGACCCCGGCAGGCCCCAGAAAACCTCCCCGGAGCCGGCACAGTGGACAGCCCCTGTGGATTCTGCTTCCAGGGAGCAATTTAAGAGGCAAACAAAACATGAAAAGCTACTCAGAATTAACAATGGGCCAGATGGTAATGCTAGTTTGAAGCAATAAAACATGATAAATAGCTTCCTGCTGCTACTCCTGATCAATTTCAATATTTAATAATTCCACTGCCACCCCCACCCCCTCATCTGGCCCCCTCCACGGGATCCTGTGATGACTCCCCGCATTCAACTCGCAGAGCAAACACTTCTTCGCTTTCTGAAGGCGTCAGCAAAAAGCACGCCGCTGACTGTCACATGAGCGCTCTTGGTCCTCGAGATGATAATTAATCTGCCTACTCTCCTGAAGACGCTCTGTTTCAAGCCTCTCCTGATTGCCAAGGAGGGCTGGGAAGGCGCTCGGCCTGCAGAGATGTGACGGGAGCGCCTACCTCATTGATTCCACCGGTACCGGTATTCCCCCAGTTTTGCTTCTGAATCCGAGAAAGGGGTCATTTCACTCCAGGGCCAGTTAGTAGGATGGGGGTCCCTTGGCAGCCCAGTGTTAGAGCCTTAGCCACTGGTCATGCCTCTGAGCCTCAGTTTCCCTCTCTGTACAATGGGGACAATCGTACCTTCCTCCAGGAGAGTCCTGGCCGGTGCTGCATGTGCAGAACACCCAGCACAGTGCTTGGTGCGGGGCACACCCAACAACCGCAGCCAGTGGCATCAGTGGGAAACACGAGGCAATCAGTAGCTGGCGCCTGAGCACTGTGCCTGCGGGAAGGGTCTGCTGTGCCCTGTGGTCAGGAAGCTGTAGCCCAGGGCAGAACCCAGCGCGAGGCAGGATCTAGTGGGGAGAATCCTGATGCCCGGGATCCTTGCAAAGTGGCGCTGACGAATGTAATGAGACAAACTGCCTCAAATGCCAGGGAGGTTCCAAATGTTTTTGTTGCCACTGCCTCAGGAGACCTCAGGGCGCCCCGGAGAGCAGGTGGTGTTGGTGCCATTTTACACAACAGGAAGTGGCGACTAGGAGGTGACATGGCTTTTCTAGTTTACATCAATAGGAAATGGCACAGACAGGCCTACTCTGCATCTCCCACCTGATTTCAAGTCCTCTCTGCTGAGCCACAGGAGAAAGTGGCTCCCTGAGAAGCCCCCTCCTTTGGGCATCCCTTTTGCAGGGGAAGCCTGGGTGCCAGGTCACCTTAGCTGCAGTTTACTCGCCTGTGAAATGAGAATGGTTCTACCGGCTGCACTGGTTCACAGGGACGTTTAATGAGGAATATGCATGAAAGTATCTGAAATTTCGTGATGAGCTGTACAAATGTCAGGTATAGTTATTATGACTTTTTAGAAAAACACCCTCTGTGAGGAAAATATCAAAAGCTGTTCCACCCAGAGGTGGATTCATCTAACTGAAGCTTTCACTGGCCCCACGGAACCTAGAGGCTCAAGACCAAACTCTTTGGTGGCGTTCAGCCCCTGGACAGCTTCCGCAGCGCAGCGTGCCCTTCCTTGTTTGCCTTCTTGCACCAGCCCCTCGGAGCTCCATAGCCTTCCACGGAGTCAAGGCCTAGACAGACGACACCCCTGCCAGGACTCTGTCCCACCCTGCTCACAGGCTTATCACTCACCTCCTCCAAGAAGTCCACCCGTAGTCTCTCTTGTTCCCTGAACTCTCATGGGAGGATGTCCTCCAGGTTCCCTGCAGCCCTCTGTGCTTCCCTCCCTCCTAGCACACAGCACAACACACTAGTGCTGTGTTTTCATCTGCCTCCCAGCTCTGCGGCAAGTGCCTTCAGGGTGAGAGCCAAGCGCTGGTCAATCTGGTCTACTCAAGGCCTGGCCCAGTTACACTCCATACATGAATGGCTGAAGGAACAGTGAGTGTTTCTACTACGAATGGGTGTGCACAGCCTTGCAACCAATGGTGCCCCCTGAATTCAAGTCCAACTCAGTCCCCCCGGGGGGTTCAAGAGCTGATCAGATAACGTTTCTCCTTCTTCCACCTTGAGTTTGAACAGGAAAATGCACCACCCCTCCCCACCTGGACCCTGCAGGCCACGAGAGAGGCCAATCATCAGGTACCTGAATCCCGCTGGTCGAGGGTCATGGAGTTCCACCTCCTCGTGATGTCAATGTACAGGATGTCCACAGCGGCCATGGACAAGCTGCTGCTGCTGAGCTTGCAGTTCCTGCAGGAGACGGGTAGGGACACGTTACTGCTGGATGAGCCCGTGCAGCTGCCTGGCCTCCCCTGGCGTTGCTCCCTGCCCAGAAGGCCTCCCTTCCTACGGCTGGAGCTAGCGAAGGGGGCAAGGCAGGGATGGAGGGAGAGAAAGCTGTAAGTACAAGTTGAGGCGAGATCATGAGGATTTCTGTTCCGTGGTTAACTAGGGGTCGAGTGGGCTGCAAGAGCAGGACATTAGGATGGCGAGACTTGAGTTGAACCCTGGCTCTGCCACTTTGGAGCTGGATGGTGCTGGTTACACCCGCTCTCCTTCCTGAGCCCCAGTTTCCTTGCCCACGAGACAGGTAGTCTTTATTACCCCCATTCTGCACCAGCCTGTCCTCACACATGCCAGTGCAGGTCTCTGCCTGCTTGCAAGAAGAACTGGGATCTGGGAATTCCATATTTCCAAACACCCTCTATGCCTTTGTCTTCACTGTCACATCCATCAGTGTCTGAGAAGCAGGACCTGTGGGTTGTGTGCACCTGCCAGCATCTGGGGGGCTGATGGTGGCATGCTCAGATGACTCAATGGTAACAGCATGTCACTGGCACAGGCTGAGGCCATCACTGCTGTCCAGAAGTGATTCCTCCGTGAAATGCTCACCAGCTGAGTCCCTGGGCCACAGACTGGGGCTTGCGGTTTCTGCACTTCACCCCTCTAAAGCTGCTGCCTGAAGACTTTATAGGGCCCCCAAAAGATCTACTAGAAGCCCACAGAGTAGAACCCCGAGGGCTGGCCCATACCCCTTTGTGTGGTCTGAGGCAGCATCGTGGGGGAGGGCCTTTCATGCTCAGTCCTGACTTGAGGGGAGTCACTTGGATGTAAGAGAAGGAGGGAGGGAGCAGACCACTGAATTTCTGGTTTCCTTAATTTAGGTACAAAGAGGCCAAGAGAGCAGGTGTTCAGTCCAATGTCAGTAACGCTGCTCCCTGTCTAAGCCACAGGGGGCTGTTCAGAATCCTCCTCCGCTTCCCCACTTGTTTTCTGGGGGGAGATCTGGAAATGTGGGTACACTGGAAGGGCTGGGCTTGGGCATCATAAAGGCCAGGATTGAAGTCCTGGCATCAGTGCTTTTTCTAGCTATGTGACTGACACCTTCCGCGGCTTTGTTTTCTGCTCTCTGAAGTGAAGATAATAACTCCCGCCCATGTGACTGCTGTGAGGATGGGATGAGGTATCGTGCCCAGGGGCAGGCTCGGCGCTGGCACCTGGATGGCCCAGGAAAAGTGTTCCTCCCCGTCCCCCCGCCCGGATCTCTCTCTGCTCCTCCTTTCCGCTTCGGGAGCTAGACCCATCTCAGCCGCATCCGGGGCTGCCCTTTCAGGGAGTGGCTCTGTCTTTCCTGGGGACACACAGCTCGCTGAGCAGAGACTCTGGGTGCCAGGGCTTGGGCTCTGTTCAGGCTGGAGGAAGCCCTTGGATTGTCTGGGTGTACCCCGCGCCCTCCGGAGCAGATTGTGCCGGGTGGTAGGTCTCAAGGGAGGCTGGATTTGCCCAGGGAAAGCGCAACCTCTGTCCTATCTGGTTGAACTGCATTTAGTGCTGCTTTCAACTTTCTGAACGTGTCCACATCCATCACCCCAGCTAATGATAAAGCGGTTCTTTGATTTCCCATTTGTCATCACCCCTTGTGTGAGCAGCTTTCTCAGGGACTTGACTGGCCAGGGGGCGACTGGCAAGCAGGATTTGAGGGTGGGGGGCGTTCCAGACCTCTCCAAAGCCATGCGTGCCCCTCGCAGGGGTGGTTGGGAGTTGCCCAGCGTGATGCCCGGCAAGCAGGTGCTCCTTATAGGCCCGCACGTGTGTCCCTGCCCCCACCCCTTTCTTCCCGCCCACATTTCTCAGACCATCAATTCTCATCCTGCCTCCTCCTGGGCTTCAATCACAAGCCACTGTGGCAGACTTCAAAGCACGCCAGCGCAGTGACTGAGCCCCGGGAACAGCACGGCAGTGGACGCGGGGCTTTTCACGTCACCTGTCACCGAGACGGCTATCTCTACCGGGGCCCGCGGGGACCTGCCACCGAGACGGCTATCTCGATCGGGGTCTGCGGGCATCGGGCTCCGTCCTCCCCCGGGGTGCTCTGACAGCCTGCACGGCTCATTTCCAGAGCTTCATTAGGAACGGCCACTGGTCTTCTCTAATGATCATACCGCGTCCTCTGATTGCCTGCCCACCCCAGCCCACCCCCGGGAGGGACAGGAGCGCTGCCCGGCTTGCTCTGTGGGTTAATGGAGTATGAACGAGGAAACCAAACTGACCACTGGCACAGAGTTATTTTTTTTCTGACAGGTAGAAAATAGAAGTGTCAAACCTTTTGCAGGAGCCATAATTTACCAAAGAGAATTCTCCATTTATCCCTTTCCCAAGGTAACTCATCCTCCCTGGTGACGCCCGCAAATACGGTTGATTGCAACATCTGCTCCCGGGACAGGGGAAGGAGGGTGTGGGCTGGCGGCAGCAGACAGGAAATGCCTTCAAGGAATTTTGATTCTGTAGGCATTTCTTGGGCACCATCTGTGCCAGACCCCTTCCTGCCATTAACGCTCTGCATCTTCATAACCACTTTGCAAGGGAGAGACTCTTAGAGTCCCAACTCAATGACGGGTAAGCTGAGACGCAGGAGAAGGGCAAGACTTGCCCCAAACCACACAACTGGATTCACATCTGGTCCTCCCCTGCGGGATAGAGTGGTGGGCGTGGGAGCTTGGGGGAGATGTGGGGCAATGGGTCGCCCGAGGTGATAGCAAGAGCCCAGGATTCAAGCCGCCGAGTCTCAGGTGGGGCTCAGTAAGATGAACTCTACAGAGAAGCCCAGACGGGAAGTTTGGGACATCAAGGAAAGGCTGCCAGGGGCACCTGGAGACAGGCTTCTCCTGATTTGACGATCATCAAACAGGCTTCTCCATGATCATCAAACATCCTCAATGGACTCAAAATGTGAAGACCGCAAGGGTGATGACTTTGGAATGAATTTTCCATGTACTCAATACAGAATTTATTCTCTGTCCACTAAATGTAGGGTCCCTGTGACCACTCTGGAGGGTAGCAGTGACCCCAGAATCTAGGCAAAAACACAAGGTCTTGGCAACTCTTCATCACAGAAAACAACTTCCCTTTATGTCCCAGGATGCAGTTCTTCAAATGATTAAATGTATGGGAGGATAATTTCTTTAGCAGACAAGAAATCCAAGAATTTTGATAACATAAGAAAAATCCCCAAGAAGAGGAAGATAGGCCAGACATGTACATGGAAAAAATTAACTTTGGAGTCAAAGACACACGAGTTTGAATCTTGACTTTGCTGTGTGACCTTGAACAAGACACTGGAGTGCTCTGCATCTAAATTTCCTTTTCTGTGCAAGGGGAATAGGGCTACTTGGGACAAGGCTCTTTCAGGGACTAGCTCAGCACCCGGCACAGATGAGGAAGTGGCTCCTCTTCTCCCCATGAAATAGAACCAGTGGGAAGAAATGATTCCCCCCCCCGACCCCCCCCCCAGAATCAAGGGACTCAGACTCACGATAGCAGAGAATCACAAATCACTCAACTTCATTAGGAGCCTGAGTAGAGAAAGATTTGAAACGATCATCCCTATTTCCTCTCAACAACTACTGACATCTCACGGGAAATTTAGACACCAACTTTTTCCACTCCATAAAATCCTACTTAAAGAATTTCTTTCCTGCTCATCCTTTCTGTGCGGAAAAGAAGCTGCTTGTTCCCGGAGAATTTTTCTATAAGGTAAAAGCCAAGAAATGATAACATTTGTTTGTTTGTTTGTTTGTTTTTAAAAACCACCAACTACTATCTGAAGATCTTGGGGGAGAAAAAACCAATTGTAGGTTTCTCTCTCTCTCTCTCTCTCTCTCTCTCTCTCTATATATATATATATATATACAGGCTATTGAGATCCCAGATATAGATTCTCACACATTGCAGGAAAGAGATCGTCACCCAAGAGGGGATTTTCAAAGCCACTGAGGAGTTAATGAGGAGGGGTGGGGGGCGGGGCGGCAAGGCCCCTTGTACTTCTGTTCCAGAACCTTCTAACACGCCATGCTCTCTCGCCGAGAATAAGCCCCCCACAGCTACCCATTATGAAGGGTATTAATATCTCTTTATGAGAAAAGGGAGCGGAAGGGAAGAAAAGGAAAAAAGAGAAAATCACTCTGATTGAAGAGGCGCCCCGGCGCAGACACCAGAAGGGGGCGCGGGGGGGGGGGGGCGGGGGGGCTCCTCGCGGGGGGCTCCGGGCGGGAGGGGCGGGGCGCAGAGCGGGGCTCGAGCCCCCTCCGGTTCCTAGAAATAACCCAACCGGGGTTTCGGCGCCCGGCGCGCCCCCCGGGCCGAGCAGGTGGGCACCGCAGCCCGTGCAGGCCGAGGTCGAGCCCGGATGGAGGCTGTATTTGGAAGAGCTCGTTCCTGGTGGAGTGCACAGGCTGCCCCCCCCCATGAGTCATCCACGGGAAGGAGAGTAGCAAAGCGCAGTTCCCGCAAGGAAAGCTGTCACACTGAACAACCAGATCGCCTCTGCTCCCCCGGGCAGGGCCGTCTCCACACCCCAGCAACTGTTAGGAAATCTCGGAGGCGGCGGGAGCGCAGAGGCCGGGGCTCCCGGGGCGTGCGCGCCCCCCCGGGGGAAGGCCAGGGGCGCGGGGGGAGCTCCGTCTAGACGAGGGGACGGCGGCTCATTATTCCTCATTTCTTGGTGGAGAAGAAAAATTGAATACGGCCAGCCCGGCATTAGCATAACTCACTCCGAAAACTGCTGATCTATGCAGCGCGCTGGGAGCGACGGTCACTGAAAATAAATTCCACAGGGATGTTTATGATTTTGTTCCCTCCAGTTCTCTGCAAGGAGCTCGCGGGGCGCGTGGGCTGCAGATGAGAGCCGAGCGGCCTCGCTCCCCGCCAGCCCCCCCGCGCCGGCTCCGGCTCCGGCTCCGCAGAAGGCGCTCGGCTCCGCTTAACATATGGCGTAAATATTAGTGGTTTGTAATGAAGCAAGATCTAAGCCAAAGTGGAAAGGTGAGAGAGAAGAGGTGTTAGCGAGGGAAGATGCAGGCTGCGAATGTAGCCGCGAGACTGAACATACTGGGGTGAATCTGAAAGCACAGAGTCCCATCTCCTACCATGAGGCTGCAGCTGGGATAGCTGCGGCCCCCTGAGAGGGCAAAATCTATTTCTCTAGTTCTTCCTGCCTTCTTAAGTCGTCGGGACTTAAGACCCATTCGCTGGGGTGGGGTGCAGAGTGCAGAGGGAGGGGCACCAGCTGTTGTCTGCTGTGGCTCGGGGAAGCCGTCCTGGGGGTCCTGCGGGCTGCACCCCCTCGCCCATGGAGGTGCTGGGTCACAGGCTGGAAGGGCAGCTGCAGGACCTAATGGTCCCTAATGCCATGGAAATCAGTTTTTCATGCAAATGCTTTAATTACAGAGAACAAAGGGATGGGAAATCGGGAAGCCTATCACACAGAGACAGCTTTGTAGAGATATTTTTGACATCTCTATTCCAATTGGAGAGCATTTTAGGAGCCTTCTCTACCAGACCCATTCTCAATTCTGTTTTTTTCTTCCAGATCGTGTACAAATATAGGTCCTCTGAGCATGGAGCTGCCCCCAGCTCCTCCCCCTGGAGCTCGCACACCGGTGGTCTCAGGCACTCACCCTGTGATCAAACCCACAGTACTTGAAAATCAATTTCTGAACAGCCAGACTTCATATGCACGTATTGAGATTTTACATAAAAAAATCAGTATTTCTGGGTCCTGGTGAAAAATCAGGAGCTCGGGTACCACTAGCCCAGCGGCAGTCCTTCGGCCAGGGCCCGTGCTCGGCCTGGCTGTCCACCCTCTGGACCCGGCCCACTGGCTCGTTCATGCTTCCAGCTGCCTGCAGGGCAACTGAGGTTGGGATTCTTAAGGTACGCTGTTTGTTCAATTCCCTCCCTCTCTCTAACATTTGAGTAGAATTTTGCTAGTAGAGAGAAAACATCACAGTTCTCACCAGCAGTGTGGCCTGGACGATAAACCTTTCCAGATTTGTAAACACAAGCCACACTCATGACCCATTCTCAGGCTTGCCCCGCTGCCTGGACTGGGCCTCCCTCCCTTTACTAACAGGCCCACCCCCCTGCATACCAGACGGACTCTGCCTCCTCTCAGGAACCTGCCCTGATTCCACCAGAAGACAGAGCACCCCCATTCTATATACTTCCAGCATCCTGAGCAACCCTGGGGGTCCCTTGGGCCATGGCCCTGTGTGGCTGCCAAAGGATGGTGCTGAATGATGTGCTCGGGTGTGCTGTGTTAGACTGAGAATCCTCCCAGGACAGGTGGGGCTCCGTTACTCATGTCCAGGTGTCCTGCTGCTACCGGGGCTCGGGAAGAGTTGTCAGGCCAAGCCAGACAGGCCCTCTCCAGCACCAGGTCCAGACAGAGCAGACCTCATGGGGCAGGGGTCCTTGCCGCGCCCGCGATGCTATTCACAGGAAGCCAGTCAAGTGCCTTCTGATGTATTACAAAACCACCTCTCAACAACCTTCCCAGGTAGGAAAGATTATCTCCATTTTACAGGTGAGGGAAATGAGACTCAGAGTAAGACAGGGATTTGCCTAAAGCCATGTAGCTACTGAGTGGTGTGCTTGGCTCCGAAGCCAGACTCCTGTGCTCTTTCTCCTGGGATCCCTCCCCCTTCCAAAAAAACCCCCAAACAACACTCTGATCTTAAAAGCCTTCTAAAAACCGCCCTGCACGTACTACTTTGAGTTTACTGAAATGGTGAAATCCCTCCTGCAGAAACTTCTGTTTACCACCCCTCTAGGAATAGCAGAGGCTACAGTTTGAATGCATAAAACTCATTTGGAGAACAGTGTATGACAAAAAAGGTCTTATTCAAGACTCCTAATTATTTGCTTTAGTGAATAAAACTGTGAAGAGTGTGACTTTGAGGTGCAAAGAAGAAATATTAAAACCAGAGATGACAAAACAACAGCAACTTCGAATGCAGGCAGAATTTCTTGAGGTGGAGAAAAAATATACCATCCTAGGGTTCAGGTAAATCTGCATCCATTTTATGGGGTCACTGAGGTTCAGAGATGGTCATTAATTTAGCCAAGGGTCACACAGCTTGAAGGTGCCCCTGCACGGTCCCAGGAGGGTAGAGGCAAGAGAACGAGTAATCTCAGGAGGTTAAAGGGCGATGACTTATTTTGTAGGCTGCAGCAAAACACGACTTCTTAATCTCAAGTTTTATCTTTGAAATTCATGCAAATTTTGTATTATACTCTATAATATAACCATGTTATTTTTATATTAGAACAAATGTGTTAAATTATTTATCAACTGAATTATTTAACTTTTCTGAAATTGACACTTTGGAAAGATGTGCTGTATTTCTCTGCTGTGGCTTCCTAAGGGCACAGCACACAGCTCCATGCGACCCTGGTTTTAAAAGCCAAGGTCTGTCTGACTCTGGGGGGGTAATTATTTGTTTGTCTTTCAAGCACCTCGTTTGAGTTGCCTCAGAATTGATCCTTAGCCACAAGCATCAGATAAGAATGCTGTCACATCCATAACACTCACAAATTCATTCAAAAAACAAGAATCTGCTACATGCCAGGCCCAGTGCCAGCCACTAGGCCAATCAACCCCAGTAGCAAAGATTCTTCCTGGAGCAGATTGGACCAGCCAGACATGGGGCTGGATCCTGCCCAAACCCTGAGTCAGAGGGGGCTGCACTCACTGACCTTATGAAGGTCCGGAAGCCTGTTGGTCCCAGCTTCATTGTGCCCTTGATCCCCAGGAACCGGATGAACAAATTTGCCATCCTGTCTACCAGGCGCAGGTAGTTGAACTGTTTTGCGTACTTGGGGAACACCTGCTTGAGGCAGATGGAGGGCAAGTGGGCTTCGGGGTTGGCATTGCCGTCTGAGGCCTTGGTCAACTCGCTGTTGGAAGGGTTGTCCTTTTCAGCCAAAGACTTCTGAAGCTGCTTAGACCTGAAACACACAAGGAGTTAAGACAGAACCATCAATGGGCGGGTTTCACAGTATACAGAGTAACCTTTGCCCACCCTCCATTCCTTTAGATTTTAGACCCCGAGGTGTGGGATGATTGCTAGTTTGATCCCAGGGACCAGAGGCTGACCTCGGAGAAGTGACCTGTCTGAGCTCACCTGGCTGAACCTGGAACTCCACAGGGCTGGACACGCATGCAGCTTCTGGCCTACCCTCCCCACTTCCCGATTGGGACAACTTCCTTTACTGTACTCGTGAGCCGGGAGAGCACTCTATTATGGAGCAGTCTGGATTGGATTTCAAACTCCTACTTATGGGTGGTAATTGAATAATTAGGAAATATAAAAATCTCATCGAGGGCTGGCAAGAAGCTATCAGCACAGTTCGATGAACAATTTGCAAAGATACATCAGTTACCCACTTCGAGGAATAGGCACGATTACGTTTTCTGGCTTAACCATTTTCTTACTTGGAACATATACAAAGAAAATGATCATAGTGTTGTGATTTCTTCATCTGGATATTTTATTCCGAAATTATCCTGATAGTCCAGAACCTTAGCGGTTAATCACTCTCAAATCCCCGTTTCTAGCTTGGAATGTTCGTCTCACCTACAGACCCACTTCAGCCACTACCACCTGTTTACCCTTTGGGAAGCCCACAGGCATCCCAGATAGAAGTGACCGTTTCCTATCACCCCAAATCTGCGTTCCCTCTTTCCTTAAATGTCACCACCATCTGTCAGTTACCCAAGCAGGAAACGGAATAAAGGCACCTCCTCCCAGCCTTCTGCCTCCACCACCCACCCTTCCTCCTTGCTGTTCTCTCCAACCAGCTCCTCTCCCTCCCCGCCCGGGTCCTGGAAACTCCTGCCTGGACTGCAGCTCAGGCACCCTGCCTCTGGCCTTTCCCAGCCAAACATTCATCCACGCTGGCAGTAGAATCACCCCTGTAAAGCAAACCCGATGGACTCACCCACCTGCTACACCCCCTTAGTGACTCCCAGGAGCCCACCCCACACAGCCCAGACTCCTCGTTCTGGCTCTCAAGGCCCTTTCCAATTTCTTCTCCATCTCCTCTTTTCCTATCGCTGCCCATGGCACCCAATTCCCTTCAAGGCCTGGAACACTCCCTGCCACCACTGCCCTGCCCTCCACCGCCCCCCTCCTCCCCCTCCCAGAACTCAGCTCCCTTCCACACTCAGCATGTCTCTGCTCCTGCAGCTCATCTTGCTTTCCTGACTCCTGTCCTGGCCATGACTGATCGGGGGCGGGGGTGGGGGGGCTTTCCCAACCACTGCGTCCTTCTTGAGACAAACCCTGATGGCGTGATCCAGGGTCAGTTAAGGCTGCCTGATTGGCTATTTGATCCAGGAAAATGCGAAGCTGCTCTCATGGTACTAACTTCAACCCCCAGGCCATTGTCTACTCTTTCCTGTAGTAAGCGGCCTCATGCCCAGGGATCCCCTTCAGAGCTGGGCCATCTTGGAATCTTCAGACCTTCCCTGGGGCCAGGATGCCTGGTACCCTTCTGCTCCACGTTCAAAAGCAGCTTGGACGCCTCCTTGACCACCCTCCGTGCCCCACTCCTGTTCCTGGGGGGGGGGGGTGTCTCTGTCCCCTTGTCACACTCATGCATCTGCCACACTCACCCTGTGTGTTCACTGAAGGCAGGTCCATGTCTTACTCAAGTCTGTTTCTACCCAACCTAGCCCATGTCGGGTGCTTAAGAAGTGTTTCATTGGGTTCACTGAATTGTGAAAGTTTGCTTATAATAGCAAGATAAGCCACAAACAGAACATCAAGGTTATGATGCGCTGGACGCCATGCGCTCTCTTAAATGGGAGAGGTGTGGCCGAGAAGCCGTGAGCCCGGCGGCCCTGCCCACGTGCCTTCTGCAGGGGTCTGACGCTGGTCGCAGAGCAAGGACAGGCAGGGGGCAGAGCCAGGGCAGCGGAGAGAAAGCCCCTCTAGAGTCAACAGTGTGGGTGCTTCTGGCCCCTCCTCCCAAGGGGAGAGGCCATTTCCCCTGGAGGAGAGAACATTCTTGGGGGGAGTGGGGGAGGGCGCAAACTGTCCTTCACCTAAGCTGGTTTCCTCACCAGCTCCTTGCACTAAAGTCAGTAAATAAAAGTCAGGTGGCAACTTTTCAGATGACATGAAATGTTTTCCCATTAAGGTGACAGGAAGAAAGAGGAGGGGGCAGGAGTGCTGTTCTGGAAATTAGCTCTTAAGTGGCTGGCAAGTGGCAATCACGGGCTCTATGAGCACTCATAAGGTTTTGTTAAAGGGAGGATTTGGAAATGTACAGTTTGAACACACTCACGACAACGAAAGTGGCCTCCAGTCAGCGGAGCATGTTCACGCGGTCCCGACGGAGAAACGAGGCTCACCAAGCTGAAACCCCCTCTTTGCTCTGGCTGAACTGGAGTCACGCACAGTTCTCATGGGGCCCTTCCCTGTTGCCACTCCGTTCTTTTTCTTTTAATGCAATGTTATTTATTTATTTTTTTTTTGCATAGAAGAACTGGGGTGTAGGCCAGAGGTGCAGGAAGTGAGAGGATTCCCCAGAGACAGAGTGGGGAGCAGACCAGGTGGATTTACTGAAATACACTGCTGAGGGGGCAGCATCACCACCCCATTATTCTAAAGCACGTCATGATTCACTTTGGGGGTTCCGACATTGGAGGTACCGTTATTTATTTTTTGTTTTAAATAGTGGTTTTAGGTTAGAATAGTAATGTGTGCTTGTAAATGATATCAGGCTTTTCTGGCCTCCCGCCATTAGCATTGATGATGGATCCTTGCGGTCCTGCATGCATGCCTGACCGCGGGCACCTGGAGTGGGGTGCGGGCAGATGGGATTCACCTGGGCTAAGACTGGGCTTATAAGGGCGGTGTCATGGGGACCTTGTAGAGCAGAGAGCAGAAGAGAATGAAGGAAACCGAAAGAGAAGCAAAGAGAACGAAAGAACGGAACAGCAGAAAAGCAGAGGCCATGCGAGAAGGCCGGAGAGCCCAGAAAGAGTAAAGACTTGCTGGGGGCTGGGAGGCCTGCCAGCCTCCCGGCCCCCCAGCCCCCCTGCCTGCCGTGTACCTGGTAAATCCCAATAAAAGCCTGAAAAGCCACCAAGGGCTCCAGGACTCTCTTCTCCTTCACCCGCCTGCTCAGATCATAGACTGCCCATTACAGTGCTCTTCATAGACATTTTGAGAAATGTAAAGAAGAATCAAAATCACCCATAATCCCACAACTCGGGAATGAACACTATTACCATTTTGATTTCTTATCTATATTTATATAGTTGGGATCACACTACATGGACTTAATTTCTGCTTCTTACACTTTACATGGTACCACAAGTATCTTCCCACGGCATAAATGTCTTCACAAGCGCAATTTCTCACGGACATATTCCATAATATGCCTGAACCACAATTTAATTAACTATCCCTCCTCATTTAGATACTAGGAGTCTACACGGCCTGTCGAGTCTGGTGATTAGTCCCCTAAGTGATGTGCTCCCCCATCAGAAACACGCCACATCATAGTGAGAAGCCGCCTTGGAGACGGTTCTGCTCAATGACATCATCTGGATTTTAAAGCTGTGGTTTAATATACCTGCCATAAAATTCACCATCTTAGCCATTTTAAAGGGTACAATTCTGTGGCATTTAGGCCATCCCTGACGTCGCGTAACCCTTACCCTCTCTACTCACAACATTTTCACAGTGCGATCATTTCATGGAAGGAATTGAAACTCAAGTAGAGAGAGACATTAGCAACAGTGAGTCATTTTATAAGCAAATGGTCCAGCTGGTGGCTTTGGCTGGGGGGTCCTGGTGACGGGGACCTGGCCGTCTCCAGGGGACCTCTCGGGTTGGAGAGGGCTTCCCCACAATGCTCAGAGGCTGTGTCCCACCCACCCCTGAAAGGGCCTTCAGAGCCACAGTTATCATTTTCATGGACCCCAACCACCAATTTGGGGAAGTGGTCTTTAGTCAACTGGAAGATGGCAGTCAAGATATAGCTGATATAGGAGAGGGAATAAAACAATGAGAAATGATATCCTTGCTGGAGATCATCTCAATTATCACATTGAGACCCAAGCTATCACAAATACTGTAAAATTCTGTTTTACTTAATGGCATTTTAATGGAAATGTCAGGCTTCTGAAATAAGAGTGACTGGTAAAGAAAATATAAATCAAGTTTACTAGTTCTTTGGGGTCATTTTTTTTTTTTTATTGAATTTGGTATATCCTTGATTCATTAGTGTAGAGGAAAGAATCCTGGAATGCTTTTATCTGTTATGGCCTTTCAAATAAAATGAAGTTCTTTTTCACTAAAACTCTTGTGAAAAATCTCCTCTCTCTATTCTGCCTGGAAAGCCTAACTATTAAAAATCACCACAATTTATGGGAGGGTCGCTAAACGTCACGCATGGTGTTAAGTAACTTACCTACGTTATCTCATATCTGAGGTGGGTAGATATTTACAGAATAGGAAACTGAGGCTAGGAGAATCTGAACTCTCACCCAACATTATAGAGCAATAATGGAATCAGAATTTATATCCAGGGCTGTCCCTTACACATGCGTGCGTCATTCACGCTATCATTCAAGTGCTAATTTGATTCTAATTAAGCCAAAGACTTTTCTTATGTATTAACTGTCTATGTTCCCAGAAATGAGCAAAATAGGAAAAGCGAGGTCAAGTTCCAGTTCCAGCAAAGGTGCTTGGTTCTCTATGAGAAATAATTTTCCCTTTTAGTTGAGCATCTTTTCAATCATTTATTCATTCATGACTAATTCCCAAGCACTTACCTACTAGTCCCAGGATACACGGAGGCACACACAGCCCCTGCCACCCAGAAGCAAGTGACCAAGTGGGGGTGCACAAGGCCCACCCATGAAAATGGCCGAGCGAGGCGTAAGTGGCCAGGTGAGCACCCAGACCTAGGACCTGCCACCCACCCGCGGC